TAAAATCTCGATCCGTCGACGGACTCCTCGAGGCCTTCCTTCCTTCTCCCTCTCTCTCTCTGCATCTCGCTCTTAGACTCCATTTCTGAGGATCGAAAATGCAGAGCGCTACCTTCACTCTCACGCCGTCCCTCCGCCTTCCGAAGCCTCGGAGGCCGTCGGCGAGCCCCGCCGTGAACTCTAGGTTCGATCCGATACGCGTTTCGGCCTCCTCGAAGCCGAACAATTTCAATGATGCGCTCTCCGCTTCTCTGCCGCGCCGATCCTGGTCTCTGTCATCGTCTTCCTCTGATTTCAAGCTCAGGCCGTGGACGTCCGTGCCGTTAGTCGATTCCGATGCCGGAACGAAGCGTTTTGAGGTTCGGGCCACTGCGGAGACCGCCGACGAGAGCACTGAGTCTGGAAGCAGCTTGTTCAAAACGCTTGAGCTCGGGGCGTTGTTTGGCCTCTGGTTCCTCTTCAACATCTGGTTCAATATCTACAACAAGCAGGTAGTTTTTGCGTATTTTGCTTCTGCTTCTACTTATTGTATTTCTTTTGTTCTTATTTGCTAAATGAGTGATTGCTGTGAGTTTGTCTGCTTTTAGTGAAAATGCATTGTTAGAATCCTTTAGTTTTTTTGGGTAGATTCTGTTTGCTTTGGCGGAATTTACTTTACAGGAAAGTCTGCTCGAATTTATTTTTTGAATTTGAAATGGTTGAAAGCGCTTTTGAGGGTGCTTTTAAAATGGTTGAAAGCGTTTTTGGTGAAAAATATTTTTAGAACTAATCCTTACTCCTTAGTAAAATGTGAGTGAATCTTAGAAAAACACTTTATTGCTTCATGCATCAATCATTTTCAAAGTAGAGTGCTTTTAGAATTCTTTTTTTTCTTTTCTTTCTGAAAGCGTTTTTAGTCATTTTAAAAGGAGTTCTAAACAAACCCGTAAAATGTGCATTTTATTCATTTACTGAATAGAAGGAGATGTAATTTTAAGGTGATAAAAAGGGAATGTAAAGCTTCATGCAATCTACTCCAAATCAATAAAAATTTGAACAGTCCGAAATATAAAGATCGAGATAGGAGTACATTATGTTTGATTACATGCAATTTAGGGAGCATTTGATTAAGGAAACTTTTCTTTACAGGTCTTGAAGGTGTTCCCATACCCAGTAACTGTCACTGGAATACAATTTGCTGTTGGGACTGTGCTTGTTCTGCTTATGTGGGGTTTGAATCTGTACAAGAAACCAAGAGTTAGCGGTGCACAGGTACATACTAGTTTGATTAAGTCGAGGGTCAGATATATGGGTTATTGATTTCCATTTAAGTGATTCTTATTGTAAGCAACTTGTCAACAGCTCGCAGCAATTCTTCCACTGGCGATTGTGCATACTTTGGGTAACCTTTTTACTAATATGAGTCTTGGGAAAGTGGCTGTCTCATTTACTCACACGATCAAAGCTAGTGAACCCTTTTTCTCAGTTATCCTCTCAGCCATGTTTCTTGGGGAGGTAAGGATTTTCATATAGCTTTGCCCCTTTATCTGTCTATATGCTATTTTAAAATTCTTTATTGTGCGTACGTTGACTGCAGTTTTTAGTTTAGTGCAAATGATCCAAAACTTGTTTGAATTCAGAAGACTATGTATCCAATTGTAGGATTTATGGCTTCTATTTTTCAATTGATTCCGAATTTCTTTGCCCAATTTATCTTATATGTCTTGATGCTTATGTAGATACCCACTCCATGGGTAGTTGCTTCATTGATACCAATCGTTGGTGGAGTGGGACTGGCATCAATTACTGAGGTCTCGTTTAATTGGTAAGAAATCACGGTATATTCAAAATGATGCCAAAAACAGAGACAAAGAGCCACAACATCTAGATTTGATTGATGAATCAAGAATTTTGTGCATGCATTATATAATCATCGTTTTGTTTGTGAACAGGGCTGGATTTTGGAGTGCTATGGCTTCCAACTTGACAAACCAATCTCGTAACGTCCTTAGCAAAAAGGTCATGGTTAAGAAAGAGGTAATATATGTTTTCCATAGTTTATGTCAGAAGTACTATTGTGTTGGTTATTGTTGTAGTGGTAGTGAGGTGGTAATTTCTGATTGGTAAGAAAATGAACTGAAAAGAAATGTTCTCCAGATCACCTATTGACCAAGGAATTCACGGTTACTCACCCTTGGATTTGACATCAAGGGTGAAGAATAAATGGACGTGCTTTTAATGTTTTAATCCCATTTCTTGATATCAAATCCAAGGGTGGGTGACCATGAATCCAGTCACCTGAGAACTGGACTCATGGACTGAATATATACACGTTTACTTATTCTATGTTTCTTATTTGTCTTCGATGGCATTCGTAACCAGCAGTTTGTTTTGAGCAGGCAAATATGGACAACATTACACTCTTCTCAATTATAACAGTCATGTCCTTTTTCTTGTTAACTCCTGTGGGTATCTTCATGGAAGGGGTGAAATTTACTCCAGCAGTCCTGCAATCTGCTGTGAGTATCTTTTTACGAGCTAAAGCTTGCATTGCGACAGAGTCATTGTAGATTATACTCGAAACTGATTAACTCTTTCTCTCCGATTACAGGGTCTGAATGTAAAACAATTATATATTAGGTCTTTCATTGCTGCACTCTGCTTCCACGCATATCAGCAGGTTAGACTTTTATCTGGTTTTGTGGTTTAATATCCTTTTCGTTTATTTATCGATTCTTCTGGGCTTCTCATGAGCTTTTGTTTAGAGCATTGAGTTCATTGTTGATGTTCAACATACTTGTCCTTGAGTACTGAAAAAGTATTTTTAGGTAACGGAAAGTCACATATAAAATATCGCTTAATAGTATGTGCAATACTTTCAATCTCTTGTCAAGTCAAATTAACCAGAAAATTCTTCTTAGCTTGTTCATGCCCCAAACTTAACTGCTCACCTTTTATGTTTTTATCAATGATTGTTTATAACTATCTTGAAATCCTGTCATGATCGTGCTTGTGCTGACTGCAAATTTCAATTTTGATTTTGTTTTTCCATTTGTGGGTTCTAAAACTGGGAATGGGATGGGGTTGAGGAACCACCTTAATGAGTAAAATTACTAAATCAGATCGAAAAATTTCAGGGTGCAAAATATGCGAGGAATAGTTAGAACTTAGAAGTGTATTAACTGTATTTGGAACCTTCCTCTTTGATGCTCGATTTTCCTAAACATAGGGTGCTTCCTCTTGTTTTCTGCAGCTTACTCGTGTAAATTGCTGACTATTGGTGAACAATGCAGGTTTCGTACATGATATTGCAGAGGGTATCACCTGTTACTCATTCTGTGGGTAATTGCGTGAAGCGTGTGGTGGTTATCGTGAGCTCTGTTCTCTTCTTCAGGACACCCGTTTCACCTATTAACGCTCTCGGTAATATTACTTGTACCGCTTGATTTTCATTTCCCAAGGACGTAAAAATTGATTTCGTATGCTGGATACTGACTTTAGTTGCAAGAAACGTTTCTTGGTACGAAAGTATAAAATCTTGTTTCAATGTAATGCAGGCACTGGAGTGGCGCTTGCCGGAGTTTTCCTATATTCAAGGGTGAAGCGTATTAAATCCAAGCCGAAGAGCGCTTGAAGTAGCGCGATGAGATTTTGCTCTTTGCTGATGGAGTTGGATGAAAAATTGCAATTTAATTAGGTCAGGCAGGGGAACCTAATTAGTGGTTGGGCTCTTAATATTTTCATGTATTTTGGTTTTTGTTTTAGAATTTCATATTTTTTTGGACCACATGATGTGACGAGAAGTATCATATCCTCCGTTGTCTTCTCGTTTCAAGTTGTAATCGACTTTTTCTAGGGGTTCACCATTTGGGTGTAGAACGTAACCTCGAAAAAGGATTAACCATTGAAGGTGGTGGTGATGGTAGGACAACAGTAAGTATATGTATACATGTTTTGCGACAATGTGACCGTCACACTTCAAAGTCAATCTCTTAAAAAAGCTTTCATTTACCCAAATCAATGTGTGTTGGAATATGTCAAATTATCGATCGCCAAATAACTGCTGGACTTGGGCAACACAAATCAATGTACCTTGGGATTTATGTGACCTAATCATGCTTGCACGTCACGGGCATGCCTAGGTCGGCACGATGTTCAAGTTGGTCTAAAACAACCATAACACTTTAAAACCCTACTTAATTAATAAGTAAAAGCATTATTAGCAACTGCAAGAACACGTAGGTGATACATTCAAAACCCCTTACATATACCGGTGTTTTAAAAAACGCCCCTTGAGACGCGCTTAGGTGGCTTCGGAGGCGAGGGCAACCATGAAATCGCTTATGCCCAATTAAGGTAGGCGTGGTCGAGGCGCGTCTGAAGTGTTTGACTGACGTCCTTTTTTCTTTTAGTTGCAGAAATCTAGATTTTTATTTTAAAGTTTAAACTGAGCACACTTTGCTGACATTTATTACCCTACTATCTTTCTTCCTGTTTAGTTTTTATTTAAGCATCTTTTTACTTGTGAACTTTTGAATGATAATGAATGTTTGTTTTACAAAGTATCATATTTTTTAAGATGTTTTGTATAATATATTAACAAATTTAGGTCTCGTGCACAAATCAAAGTTTTCGCCTAGACGGGATTATGCATGAAACACTTCACTCATGCCTTCGCCTTTTAAAACATTGACACATACATAAGCTATCAGCAAGAGTACGTATATTATGAATAAACTTACATATCCATTATTCATTAATCATAAACCATATATTAACCTCTGTATTATGTTATTGTAATAAAACCGTGTAATCATGATACACCCCTTTCTCTCTATCTCTCATCATGTGATGATCATGCGATGAGAAAACGGAAATATACTTACGGTTACATTCAAAATTCTACCCTACTACACTACCCTGGTAACCAAAACTCGATCGACTTCAAGGCCGATTGCATCCCCCTCTCTTTCTTCAAAATTTATATTAAATATATAAAACTCTATGAAACTTCAGCTTAATTAGTTCACTTGAGAAATCATCTCCACCAAATCCATCTCCTTCTTCACTTCATTACTCTCCAAATCCACTTGCATGGCCATCTGAAAATCCTTCTCATCAAAATTACCCTTATCAACATAACCATAATCAATCTCATTGTAACCATCAAAGTTACTGTTCTTCTCACCAACAGCAGCAGCGCAAGGGATGTCATCGAGCAAAGAATCGATGCTACACCCTTCCTCGAAGATGTTCTCGTCGAAACAAAAATCGGGGTCCTCATTGAAATCGTTGTAGCTCGGAACCAACAGATCGTTTGCGCACAAAAGTCCCACGTTGGTTTGTGGCTGCTGATAAGTAGCTGCAGCTGCAGCTGCTTTAGTGCTGGTGCTGCCACCGTTGTTGTTGTTAGCTGAACTGTTCCTTCGCTGCCTCCCTGTGCTGTTGCTTGCCGAGTCTAGGTTTAAGCTCTTGATGTATTCCTGCAAAATGGAGCCTCTAGGGTACTTTGATCGACATTTTCGCTTGGAATATTGTCGCCTTTTCGTTGCGTTCCAGTGGTTTTTGATGGAGTTTTCAGTCCTTCCGGGCAGTCTCTTTGCAATTTCTGCCCACTTGTTTCCTATTTCTGCATGAGCTTGTATCAGTGTCTTGTCCTCCTCCTCACTCCATGTATCCTTCTGCAAAACAAATAAAGCCATTTGCATCATTTCTTATTGTATCAGATTTGTACCACAACGTTATTACGTCGCTAACTATTAGTAATGTCGCGCTACACAACCATACATGAATGTATGCGTGATTCATGTAGCGTTACTCGTCAAGTGAATGGCAAACCCAAACGCATAATTCACGTAATTAGCATGTCTAGTTTTATAATGATCATTCATGTTTGGGATTGCATAGAACACTTATGCTCATAAGTGCTTTTACTCAAAATCCAAGTACTTCATGAAAACACACTTGGAAGTAATTCCGGGGTAGGTACTTCTCGATCTTATGACACATAAGCACTTCTAAATTTTCAGCAAACATAATCTAAAGTACTTTTGGCTGTTATAAAGCGTTTTTCACTCTTCCAGAAACAATCCCAAACAAGCATAAGTCAGTCAATTATCGAATACCTTGATGTCAGGCCTTAGGTGGTTATGCCATCTCTCCCTACATTGCTTCCCAATTCTCCCAGGCAACATCTGAGCAATGTGAGACCATTTCCTGACTCCAAATTGCTCAACAAGCTGAATTAAGAGCCTGTTTAACACAAATTTGACATCATTAGAGACCTTAAACTACCCAAAAATGCAGTTTAAGTTTTAATCTTTCAGTTTTTTACTCCCTTTTTTGGTGAAATCTTTCAGTTTTTACCTATCTTCCTCGGTTGTCCATTGACCCTTGACCACATTTGACTTCTTTCGACCTTTCACCATTGACCCCCTTGTTACTCCGGTAACTTTGCTTTTGCCATTCATCCCAAATTTTCTGTAGTATCCATTTTGGTCTGCATTGTTTATGCAGGATACCTCATCCGGCACCGAAAAATTCATGGGTTTAATATCTTGAGTGCAATCCAACGGCAGGAAATTAGTTGCACTCCCATGAGATGAAGTTCCCACCGCATGATCAAACGGATTTGATGATCTGTGATGAGTTGGGAAATTCAAGTAGGACCCACCTTGGAAGTTGTCCAAAACTTGGCCATGTCCCCCATTGTTTTCTGCAACATTTGGAGGCTTACATTTGTAAAAGTTCACATCTTGATGTGATGAATTTTGATCGTAGGGGTAGGATGTGTCGCTGTACGGATCAAAACATGGGGTGTGGGTCCCAAACATAGGGTTTGAAGAGGAGACATTGACATGAAATTGATGATCAAGGTGGTGAAAATCTTGGAGGTAATTGTAGTTTCTCTTTGAAGACGAAGATGTTTCAAAGAGAAACTCGTCTTTCATAGCATAAGGTTTGACATAGTTTTCCGACGCAAACAATGGAATGTGGATTTGGGAGACGAGTTTTTTTCTGAGCTTGTTGAGCTCCATTAGAGATGCTCTAAGCAAAATGCGTTAGGGTTTAGTAGTGAAAAAATGGGGCAGCTTCTGTTTTGGGAGCTGTCACCATTGTACTTTTGTTTGCTTAATAGGTGGAGGAGGAAATGCATTTATTGTAAAGATAGATCCTGACCGTTGATCTTGCTTCATCCAACGGTCAGGGTTGGTTGCCGCAGCTAAATTTACATACTTTTGCCACAAGTGATTCTTTGTTGGTCTCAAATTTTGGGTCCTATAAATTTCTCTTTAATTTGTTATTATACCGACTGTAATTAAATCTATTAACTAAAGTTCTTAAATATTGTAATGGCGTTATGTAAGGTTATTCAGTCGGAAATGATTTTGGCACCCCGTTTTCTCATCTTACACACTATCTTAATGGAGAAATAATGGACAAAAATAATAAGGGTGTGCAGAAGCAAAAATTAGTTATGTGAATTTCATCTTCCTTGTTTAGGGCTTGTTTGGAAGTGCTTTTAAAATGATTGAAATCGTTTTTTTATGAATTGTTTTTTAGTTCCAAAAGTGCTTGAGTGCTTCCTGCAAGAAGCACTAGTTTAGGTGTTTTTCCATGATTCACTTGAATTTTTACTAAGGATTGGCTCCAAAAGCACTCTAATTGAAAGTGTTTTCCATCATTTTAAAAGAATTTTCCATCAGCCTTTATTTTGTTCCCATTTTGGTTTATGGTCAAAGAAAGTAAAAGTCAATTAAAAGTCAATTAGGACAAACTTGAGAGTAAAAAATCGGTTTTACTCTAATCAATGAAGTTAATTTAGTAAAAGTCGTTAAGAAAGACTTCACTCTCAGAAGCTGTCAAATTTATTAGAGACTTAATCGCCACTGTTAATTGCAATGGTTTGCATAACGCCAAGCATTTTATTGCCTCTTTTGCTTAACCGTTGCTCATTAAATTTAAAATTTAAAATTAGGAATGTCACACCTAATAAAAGGTATAAAAGAGCAGGGAAATACCCTCTTGCGCTCCCGTTTTCTCTCTCTGCATTCTTCCCTTTTGCTCTAAGCCCCTCAGATTGAATAAATCAAAAGAGAATCAAGGGCTTAGAACAAGAGAGCATAATGCAGGGAAGAAAAATGGAGTGCGAGAATTATTTCCCTAAGAGCATTTACGTTGCACCCGAGGTCCTCTGTTCGGATCCATCATCCCCAATATCGCTCGTACCAAAGACAAAATGCCAAGCAACCCACAACTCAATCTACGAATACAAAATAGATTTCACTCTTACAATCTTGAATGAACAAGAAATGGAAAAAAGTTTCAGGTTTCCCATAGAGATTTTGTTGTACATACTAATCAAGCAGATAGGGAAAAAAACAATGACACTTCTCTAGGTCATGTCTCCAAAGGAAGCGATGTGTTTCGGTGTGAATGCCAACATAGCATTTGACTCTGAAAAATTGTAAAACTTGAAGCAATCGAAAATTTTAGTTATATGCATCGTTGCTGGAAAGCTTTCTCAGGGTTCTTCCCGTCAATTTCTGAGTGGTGAGGGAAATCATGAGGCATTTCCGTGGCAGAAAACCATGCTTCGGTGAAAACTTTGACGACTTCTTGGTGGACAACAGCATTGCCTTCTGGTGTTAGGTGTAGCCCGTCACTGCAAAGGAAGAAAAATGGATTAAGACAGATTATTCAATCTCTCACACAGTCAAACACTTCAAAGATGTAAATTAAGTCGTTTTAGGACTAAATTAGAGAATATTTATCTTCATATAACTTCGATCCCCATTCTAATGATCACAAAATTCATTTAGATGATCTTGATCCGACTATTATGGCAGAATCTAAGGCATTAATCAGTAAATAGTGCTTCTTTTGCAAGGGAAGATCTGGTTGCAACCACTTGATGCTAAATTGTTTCATAAACTGTACAAGTTGAAGCTTCAAAGATGGCAAACCTTAGAAATTTCTTCTGCCAACCCTCTGTTTCCTGCAATGTGGACCAAAGATTGATGGAGCGGAGACCCATTTCTTCAGCTAGCTCAATGCACTTCTTTGCATAAACTCCTGTCACTTCATTCGTCCTTTCTGGAAGTTCCCTAGCATCCTTACCATATAAAGATCTGTGAAACCCAATTACATAATCAAAATGTTATAGGTACCAATCACATGAACGTTGCGAAGAGCAACAAGAAGACGATTATGTGTGTGTAGTAAATTTGAAATGAGAAGAATAAATCATACCGTGCATATTCATTACGTCCATCCTCGTCAACAGGTGGTGGAGTAATAAGCACAATCAAAATGGTGGGGGAACACTCCTGCAATCAAAACCCCTATATGCGATGAGATGTGGGTCAAATAATTGACCTTAAAATAGTTGCCCCTCAGAAAGTCTCAAGATCATGCATGAACACAATCGGGAACTCCAAAGACCCAGAATTCACGGGAATAAATAAGTGATCATATGCAATGAACTAACAGTTCTATGTGTGATTCAAAAACAAGCCCAAGGAATCGGAAAAGACATTCTACGCGAGATTATGGTATTGAGTATTGACAGAACATTTAGAAAGAGACGGGGGCAGTTATGTTGGAGAGGCGATGATGTGAACACAACTGAGAGTCAAAGATGATAAATGAGCCGATGCTTGCAGTGGTAGAAGTTGGGTTATCAACCTTATACCATTGATAGTTATAGCTCCTTTGGTCCTTCCAAAAGTAAATTACCCACGATGTCGTTCTTATACAAGCTTATCTTATACAAGTTTAAAATAGCATCTATCAGACAATAAGGATGAAAACTGAAATGGAAAAACTAAAATATTCATAAGAAAGGTAAACAAATTTGAACCTTCAGATGAAGAACAAATTTTCTGAGATTCTCCTTGTACTCTTCAAGAGGAACATGTTGCCGCTCGCTTGTTCTGCCTAAAATAGCCGCGTCATTGGCCCCAAAGAAAATTGTGGCAGCAGCAGGAGGTTTATCAGAATCCTGCACATTCACATTGGGATACGGTCACTTCCATAAACGTTTCCGCATCAATCCAATCCTATCCTTCTATCACATATCGCGGCCATCACTTCTACGATTTTCGCATAACACTTCCAAAAATGGGGGTAAGACTAGCCGACATTCACCTCTCCCAGACCCTGCGTAAAGCGGGAGCCTTGTGCACTGGGTACGACCTTTTTTATATGCATACTATCACATATCTAATCTAACATCTCAACATGACAACTTGATTTACCAGCAATACTATCAAATACTAGCAAACAAAGACATTGACTTTCTGAAATCAAATGCACAATGAGAAACGTAAATCAATACGAGCAAGAAATCGAACAAAAACCCAATTTAATTAACAAAAAACTAGATAGAACAAAACCCAATATGCAATTCCAATGCCAACAAACCAGAAAAGCTTTTACCTTTGAAAAAGATGCAGTAAAAATTGCAGAGAATGCAGAAAAGAATTTACCAGAGGAAAGAGGTTCTGCAGCAAGAACAAAGCCCATCTCGTGTTGTACCCGCCATACCCACGAACTTTTACATCGGCCTATCAATCCCCATCACCAAAAATGACCAACATTTACTGATTCACCATAACAGTTAGAGAGAGAGAGAGATAGATAGAGACCTTGCGGGAGTAAGAATCGGCTAGAGCAGCGCCCCAGCCACCTGATTGGAAGGATTGTTCGGTGATTGAGTCTCCGAACAAGACGATCTCAGGCCTCATCGCTCTTGCTTCTTCTTCCTCCCTGCTCCTACGCTTTTTACTGTTGACTCGTTCGGTTGACGGTTGAGACTCGTGTTTCGTACGTAAAACGACAACTCGTTTCTTAACACGACCAAATAATAGCATTGTTCTTTGTAGATTTGGCATCTTGGACCCTCTACGGCTCCATTAGTCATTTTCCATCCAAGAATATACCAATGTGCATTTGCACCAACAAAAGTGATGTAGAAGAAGATAAAGAAAATGCCACTTAGTATTACAGTCCTATGACATTCTTTTTCACTCGTAAATAAGAGGTTTTAGATTCAATTCTCGTCAAATGCGAATTTGAATTATATTATTTCTAGTTTATTGTAATCACCAATTCAATATTTAATCAAACAACCGTCTGTAATTTCTATCAAACTGGTGGATTCCAGACTTTTGGTTCTTTAAGGAATTATGCTTGTAATCCTTTGTTTAGTGATTGTTTGTTAATTCTTAAGGTACTAATTAAATTTCTAATACCGCTCTATCTCTTTCATGTTTTTCATAATCTACTAGCATCTTGCCCCACGTTAAGAATGTGTGTTGGGTGGGTTGATTAGTATTGCACACGAAGTGATGTGATTGATTTCACATTCCCGTAATAATGTTCTTGAGGTGATGAAAGAAGGTGATGAAAGAAGGTGAGGTAACGAATTAGGACTAGAATATGTTTGAATTCTCCTCAACGTGACAAAGAAAAAAAGCAACATGCGCACGAGATTTTTTGTTCGAATCAGGTGCTTACACATTGAAAGTGTCACTAGTTTTACATTAGCTTTGAATGGCTTAAAAGTGACCCTTAAACAAAGGTGACATCTTCATGGGAAACTTTAGTTAGGTATGAGTGCTGGGTTGCTGGGTCCCCAAAAGTGGGTTACAATCTTAATCCGTACCATAAAACTGAGTGGAAGATAAGCTTACAAAACAAAAAGGCCACTTGGGAGATACTCCAAACCATTTCCAGTGGAGAGTAAGCATGCAATATTCCACCAGTTAATGCAAATCCTAGATCATCATCATCTGTCGAGTATTTATGCAATCTGTTTCTCATCGCCATCAAATACCAGTCAAAGTTTTGGAGTGGTAAACATGAGTTGCAAAATCATAGTGGCATGCATGATAAGAATAGAAGCTGATTCCGAGAATATTCAGTTCAATCCTAGGCACCAAACGAGCGGTTCAAGTCACGAGCATTCAGACAGATGATGCCTGAGTTTTGCGGTAAGGTTTGGTGAATACAACGGATTCAGTGATTTTTACTTCGGAAAACTGAAAACCGAATGATTAAAAGAAAACGCTGGTATGAACTTTCGGAAACATTGAGATAGACTGCATATTTCGCATTTAGTTTGAATGAGAAAATTATTACAGCTCCTGCATTATTGTACTCATCTTCTCTGCCCACCAGATAATCGAGAGACAAGAACATTGACAAACGTCGTACATTATCACGAAAAGTTAGAAACACACCGAAAAAGATGACACTTCGTTACACATAAACTTAGTACATAACCTCTCGAGACCATTGCCAAAAATAATCTCACCAGAGTCGCAATTTTAGCTTGAAGAACCATGAGAGCTTCGTCCAGAAGACTCTGTTGTTTCAAGTCCCTGTCCGCTCGGTCGGGGGGCTTCTTTCTCCTCTCAGTCCATTTAAACGGGGGCTGAACACTACCTGTGACATCCGCGGGCTACCTTCTGGAGGAGTAGGGGTCAAACTTGATGCTTTTGGACTGTGAGTATGGCGGATCTCACCACGGCTTCTTGTGATAATTTCGTCAAGCATCTCCCCACCGTCAATGTTGGTGGTTCTTGATTGAAGATCTAGATCCTGTCATGCATAGAAAACATCAGCATCGGCACAAGAATTTCAAAAAGATAAGCTAATGAAGGCTTTCTATAAGCACTTTAATAGGATAGAATCTGAATAGCACATGTTCTAATCTGATCCAAACTTTGGATTTGTACCCCTTCTGATCGAAACTCAAGGTCCAACTCTGGTTTATTTTCGTGATATAGAATTCAAGATGTTCACAATTTTTTCACATATGAACTGAATGAAAGGATTTCGATAACTCACTTCAAGGGACAGGTTGAGAGTAATGGAAGGGGCTTCCTCATATTCTGCAGCATCCAGGTCTTGAAGGTGAGCTCTTTTGAAAAACTTGGGGAGAAAATACTGCCGCACCGGGACTAGAAGCATGATCAACAATGGGAATAGCACCCCAGCAATCGGGATCCATGTTAAGCCAAAACACAAAAGCAAGTAAGCCGTCTGGAACAATGTGAAGGCCACAATTGTTTTGAAAGGCACAATCTCAAGAAAGGTTCCATGATTCTTCTCCAGCACCCTAGCAAGATGGATGATGGTTACCATTTGATGATTTTTCAAAGATAATACTAGTCATGATCTAGATAAAGAAAAACGGTAATATTTAAGTCTGAGGAAGTTAAATTTTAAGATTCTAAAACATGTTTCCATGCACCCGTATCTAGAAATTCTAAAGCAAACCATGTGGTATAATTTCCAATATGCAATATGCGGAAGAGTATTTAGTGAAAGAATCGTTGTTACATTACAAGGGAAAGCACCAACTTACTTGTATCTTCGACTTGGAGCAGTGAAAAGAAACAATATCCTCTCCCAAAATTGATTTCCAGGCAAGCTTTCGATCGCCATGAAAGCAAAATAACCCCAAAGAACTGATGTTGGGATTTTCTTCAAAACAGGCATAGCAGCTACACAACAACCAGCCATCAATGATTGAAGCAGATTGCTGAGACGTTGCTCTTTTACTTCAATGGGCAGAAGATCGTCAATATCCTTCTCCACATCAAAAAGAGTCTCATCAACAGGGGCATCAATGTAGCCAGCACTAGAGGCCAATTGGACTGTGGATTCCTTCAGCTCTTTTAGTCCCTGTTCGAATCACAAATTTTAAAGCAGAAGGATAAAAGATATAAACTTTTGTATCAATCATGAATAATGTAGTAGATATATTTACCAAAGCAGATGGAAGTTGGTAGGCTAGTGGAGTCTGCATTCCGTTGTATGTATTTTTCATGCTCTGGTATAAATCACTCAAACTCGAATTTTTGCGTATACTATTTCGAGCTGTTGATGCAAGCTTATTCCGCAAAAGCTATTCCACAGAAAAGAACCGATCCACTCTATTAATTAACATATTAAAATCACAATAAAGTATTCACTATTGCATAAACAGACACTCGAAGGGGAAGCAGAAGAATGACTGAGAGAAGTCCTCTCGGTGAGAATCAGTAGTAGCAGGGTGAGAAACAAGTATCAAGAGTCCTAATATCCATATATTGACCCATCAAATGTCTCCAAAAGACACTAATTCACGCAAGCTTGTATGCTTATCAAAATCTTGTGAGTGAACAATTCCGCTATTTAAAAGACAAGCTAACTATCACTACGCAGAAAACTATACTACCTGATGTTTTAGAGTAGCTAAGCTTTTTGTATGCATAGGAGATTGTGGGATTACTCCATTGGAAGGGGGAATGCCAATAAGCCCACATAACATGACCTGGAAGCAAATAATCGGAATTTAAAGGAGAACTTTCAAGATATATGAGTAGGTAAAATCTCTATCTCAATTTAGCTTGTCTGGAAGCAGCTTACCAGAAAACCCAGAAGAAGAAGGTCATAATGATATGAAGCCGGTTTCTTTAGATTAAATTCCTTCTGTTGGGCAAGTTGAGATGCAACACTGTGATCAAAGTAGTAGAGCACAGCGATCATAGTTGCTGGTATAAATGCTCCAACTATATATAATGGAGGTACATTCATCATCTCCTGCACAATTAAACAACATGAGTACGTAGCAGGGATTTAAAGGAAAGAGAGCACAAAGTTGGCAACATCCAGTTAGATATAAGGCTTAGATGTCATGGAAGTGTTTTACAAAGTGTTCGGGAAATAATCCCTACAATCTCACCTTGATAACTGTCCAGTTTGAGTATGCACCAGGAGACCATGGGTTTGGACTGAACAATCGTCTTGGGATTCCTCTAGGGACATCATTAACTGGTATGTAAGATACAGCAGTCCAAACAAGCACCATGAATGGAACTCCATAATCCGTAATTAATCCCCGTAGCCAACCTATAACATTTGCCAGACAGGAATGTTTCTAAGATATATAGTTGACATAGTAGACATACAAAACTGACCATTCTCAGAGATTCAATTAAACCTTTCATCAGAGAAATAGAGATGCATTATAAATGAATATGATTTGATCTTTCAACTTCTTACTAGAGCTCAAAAGCAAATTCCACGTACCTGTTCCATAACACCAGGATCTAGCTTTACGGCTTCTCAATGCAGTTAAAAGCAGGCCAAATGACAGAACTAGTGCAAACATTCCATTGCCAAACCGCCAAGAAGGTTGGAGTGCAGTCTGATTAAGATTTTCCCTCTCGGGTATGCCAAATTCCTCCACAAGTCCCTGTAGAATGGTTTCATAAGTTGAATTCAAAATGAAGAGAATAGTTCTAGAGCATAGAAGTATAGAGATCATGGAAATATAATCTTTTTGTTCCCGAAAATAACACCACGCCAGAAATTATTGAATTGAGATATCCTTTTGGAATTCATGTATAATTAAATCTCAAAAGGTTTAAAACTCTAGTATACAACATTAAAATTGATAAATTAATAGTAAAGGATTATAAGGAAAACTCACCCTTATGGCCTGCTGCATAAAAAGCATTGCAATTAACAGGCCAAACAATTCACCAGCAACACGCGTAAACCTATTTATAATAGAGCACGCACCCAGAACCGCCAGCAAGAATAGCAAAAGGGCTGTCCACATACATACCCTAGATACCCATACCATGGGAAAAAAATGTTCAGTTTCATCAGAAAATCAATTGCTTTGTAATGTTAAGATTTCCAGAGTGTTCTAGAGAGATACCATCCAGTCCAGGCTAAGAAGAGTTCCTGCCCCAAATCCTTCTGGTCCTTAGCAAAGTTGAACATAAATGTATACATCAATACCGTTGGCTCAGCCACCCCTAGTATAAGCAGGGGCTGTCCTCCAACAATTGAGTGGATAATGCCACAAAGTGATGTGGATGCAAGAGTCTGTACAGCAGTCAAGCTTCCATCTGTAAATATACATAAACACAGCACTTTTCAGAAAATTAACTCCAAAAGAAAAATTCTAAGAGGACACGACAATCAAAAGGGAAGGAAAAATAAAAAGGTATTGTTCAACTTGTATTTCTTTCGAGCTGTTCCCCAAAGGAGATAACTGGAATTGCTGAAGCAAAGAATATGTATGTTGTTGGCGCCAAGATCCTACACAAAAGAAGATAATGGTCATAATAACTTGAGTAAGGTACAATACAGAAGTGCCAATATGAAATTTGTTTGGACAAAAAACGTCCTAAGCTGAGATGCTTATCAGATGATTTTCATTAGAAACATAAAAGTATCATGTTTTTGTGATATAAAAATGAGAAATACGACGTTCACGAACCTGATTCCCGCGCGTAAACCACCAGTCCAATCCTGTTTGTAGCACAGAAGTCTCCCCTTGAGGTCATTCTTTATCCCGCGAAAGGGAACAAATGTTTCTTCCATAATAAGTCCAATACTTTGGAAACAAGAAGAGAAAGTAAACTTTTCTAGTTCTTGCTTTAGGATGTATATATAAACGTACGATATTACGGGCAGACAGAGAAAGATTTCTTGACCATCATAGAGTTTTGAAGGTGAAAAACAAGCGGGAAAGAAAAGTGTTGAGTCATTGGATTGTTGCAGTATGATGGACCCTTAATGAGGTCTATATATGAATGAACAGATACAGGAAGTGTGAAATTTACATTTCAAGGAATCAATAAAGAATGTGGTATATATTTCTATGAGAACAAAAGAACCAGTTGGCAAATTGAGCTACTTAGATTCCATATCTTGCACGAGCCAAGGATTAGCGAATCAAATTCACTGTGAATCAATCAGGAAGTTTGAAAATTAACGAAATGAGCTAGCACTTCCCATGTGCTCAAGTCACGCTACTAGCGGTACACTTGGACAAAGCTGAGATCCATCCCTTCGCTTATCAGAAAAGGCACCTAACTGTTACCAGGTGCATGTAAATGCTAAAATACCAGACATTTGGTACAAATTTGCGAGCTTTAACTGGCGAAAATCGCAATCAAGTTCCAGACTTTGAGGGTTTCACAGCAAGAACAAGCAAATTAGCGAAAACCCATCATTGTAAACAGCATTTGGGATAGTTTAGAACAATTTTAAGCAAATGGGCACTCACAAAACACAAGAAAATGCTTCTTTTTTACGATAGAACAAAACAAAAGACTCGAAATTTGGAAAAAAAAAAACTGGACAAAGGAAGTCTATGCAGCAAGATTAGCGAAATCCCATGACTGAAATTACAGATAATTTAGAACCCCTTTGAGCAAATGGGCAACCAAATAGCGAAAGTAACAAAGAAGAAAACTTTACTCGAGATTACATTATTCAAGAAAAACCCTTTGCCTTTTGGGAGTGGAGCAAAAAAAGCGCAGAAAATTCAGAACTCACAGACGATGTGTAAGCTTGCAGCTACATCACCTGGGAGGTAGCAGAGTTTTCTGTATAAAAATGGCAGAAAGCCGCAGAGAGAGTGAGACACCAATGTGCTCAGAACAGCAGCTACTGATTTCTGAGTGAATAAATGGCAAATGAGAGAGAATTAGAAGGGATTTTCGTAAAAAAAATATAAAAAAAAAAAACTCCGGAGTGAAAGGATTTTCGCTTGAGTGAGATAGTGCTAGGTGGCTACAAATGTACGACTCTCTCTCCCTTGGCATTGGATTATATACAGAGTACATGATGAGTTGAGAGAGACAGAGTGGGAAATATAATAAAAAATAATTTTTTTCTTGAATGGTAAAATAACAGTAACTGATGCGGTATTAAAAATATTTGTATCACTGTTAAGTTGCATTGAAGTATAGCTTATCTTTGAGGGATACGATGCGCTTTGACACGACGGTTCATATTTTTTGTATAAGAAGACTCAAAGACTCTTTAACTGATGTTGATTAACATCACGTAATTTATACAAACTTGAAGTTCGTCCTCAATTATCGATAACATGTGTGTAATTTCTACAGTATAACAAAATCACTATCGCTTGTGTATATGTATATTTTTTATGAATGGTCGGTATTAGAGTTTTGGCTCTCCACTTTCACACGGCACAGGCCACTCACTTAAGGGAAGCTGAAATTAATTAATTGGATTAAATATGTGGGTGAGAAGTGGGAGATGGGAACTGGGAAGACAAAAGCAGTCATGCAACTGAAAGCTTTCTGCTACCTGTTACAAAAAGATCCACGAAAACAGAGAAAATTGAGGAATTATGTTTTAGGCTTCTTCTCCATTTATCAACGTTTTGTTTGCTTTGAAATGTGTTGAGATTTTTCCTTTTTAATAATTTCTGTCCACTTATAATACCTTTTTTTTCTTCTTAATTATTTAGAAGTTCAGTCCACTTATAATATTTTTCCTTTTTTTTTTTGTCAAAATAATATTTTTTTTCTTTTTAATGTGTTGAGATTTTCATTAATTTGTGGCTATTTTTTATTCTAAATTTCGGCAATGACCTTTTTTTTCTTTTCAAAAAATAGAATAGAGGCTAATAACCAATCGATTATATGAAGTATGAACGCATGCGTGTTTGTATGACTTTACTATATATAAGGTTAACTGAATGCTTAGCAAACAAAATTAACAATCATATATATCCCACTTTAGAATTCGTTTTCAATCGAAGAGAGACAAATAAGGTAGTTCATCGTCTAGCAAGATTAAGTTTGACACCAAGTCTCGTGGTTTGAGCAACCTCTAGTTGTAATCTCTCATATTCTGTTTGAGGATTGTATTACTAATTAACCGCGAGATATTTTTTTTTTTCTCTTCGACCTGGTTGAAATTCCCGACAAGATTTTTATCGAGGTTCATTGTTAGTACTATATTCTCTAGTTGTATGTATTCCATTTTATTTAATGAATTTTGAACTAAAAAAAAATTAAGTATAACCCCCCTTTCTCTCTTGTACTATCTAAAAGATATTGTTTATAGAACAATACTTAGCTATTCAAAGATGAGTAGGAACTCCTATTCAAAATTTCTCAAAATTGTTCGTTCTCAATTTATAGAACTTCGTGTTTATAATTAGAACATTTCATATTATAAATTACCCTATAAAGATTTCCTCTGCAAAAAAATGAATTAAAACTAAGGTCGTTTAGTCATCAAACTGTTTAAAACAAATGAACGGTATTGCTAAAAGCATTATGAATCATCTATGTATTTGCTACAATATATTGCCTAAACGACCTTAGTTTTAATTTATTTTTTACAAAGATGATATTTACAATGTGATTCATAGTATGAATGGTTCCGATCATAAGCACAAAGCTCTGTGATTAAAATACTAAGAGTTTTGAGTAGGAGTTCCTACTCATATTTGAGTAGCCAAATATTGTTCTTGTTTATATTTTAATCTTCTTTTTAAAGGAAATAAAAAGTGAGATAAAAGTTGAGCCAATAACAATCAATGTATTTACATCAAGCTTTCACTACACATCGGTGAAAGGTTTTTAGTTTCCAATTGTGATAAATGATGAGTTCAATACTAATTTATTCTTTTAGTTCTTAAATTATCAATGTATCGTTGTAAACTATTGTTGAATGATGATGTAAAAGCAAAAAAAAAACAAAATAAATATCCAATGATGCTGTAGATCAAGATTGAATTGATATATATTAAAAGTTAAAGAAACATCAATGAATCTAGGTTTTTTTTTTATGGGAATTAATTCATATAGGTTGAATTGGTATATATATCTGGAAAACAGTAGGTTAAAGTTTTCATGTGAAGAGTTGCAAATTATTCTCGGTGACCATGCATATAAAGTCCTACGTTTATAAGTAATTGGTTGAATTTGGATATATACTTGGCTACTTGCACTTTTTGATTAATTTTAGTTTTAGTAATCAATGATCCTAAAGAATAAAGGAAGCTCTTAAGATCGAACACTACATAAAACATGGCATGAAAGGAACACGGGGAATACATATTAATATGTTTGAACTACAGTTATTAGTACTGGTCATCACATATATATATATATATATATATATATATATATATATATATATGAAGTCTTTAAGAGAAGGAATCCTCATTTTTTTTATAAAAATAGGGATTAGTTGTGGGGTCCACACCACATCGAATTTTAACGATCCAAACCATCTATTTTTCAAGTTGTACCTTATAGATCATCCTTACAAAATATTAGCCAAATAGGATATATTTAAGGCATCTAATTGGGTTCAAATAAATGAATGAATACTTTGTTATATAAGAAACAACAAAATTTGATCTTGATAATTAAATAGGCAAATAGTTTCGGATTGAATTGAAATTTTGCAAGGATGCTCTATGAATCGAGACTTACAAAATACACGGTCGAATCGTTGAAATTCGATGTGAAGTGGGCCCCACACGTAATCCCCATTTTTTTCAAAAAATGGGGATCCCTTTGCATAATATATATATATATATATATATATATATATATATATATGTTTCTGACTTTTTAGCGAAATGGCTCTTTACTTTGGTCTCTTCAATGAAAATCGATCGAAGTAATCCTTGAGTTTATACACCGTAAATCATTATGGTCATTTCATCTAAAAGTTGTCCGTATCCTCGTTAAATTGTCACGTGAACAACCACATGACCACTTTTTTAAGGATGTTTTGGTCAAATCAACATCTCCACTTAACGAGAATATTGACATATTTTTCACAGAAGGACTAAAACAATTCACGGTTGACAAACTCATAGACCACTTCTATCGATTTTCATGTTAGTGACAAATGTAAGAAGTTTACGTCAATCTCATGAATCATTTTAGCTATAAAGCCTAAGTTTGTTGACCGACTTAGTGGGATTTTGATAATATATTGGAATAATTTATATTGTTTGTTGATCATTGATCATGAATGGAGTTGGCTTTGGTAAATTTTACCTAAATATTCCGATTCGATGGGATACAATACCTTATGCACATAGAAAGACATGAAAGCAAAGATGTTGAAGTTAAAAAATGGAGCAGAATATATGACAAAATTGACAACCCATATCAAGATATTTTGATTTTGATTCCGCGTATTTTTTCCCGAATAAAATTGACCCACTCCACCTCAGTAGTTCCTCTCTTAGAAGATGCTTTGTGCCGCCTTACGAAATCAGTAGAGCAGATTAACCATGCATGCATGCTTTACTTCACACCTATGAAGAGGAGATATTTTTTAGTGTGTCTGAAATACGAAATAGTACATTACGTGTTCACCATTTGTATGAAAAAATTAATAACTTAAAAAATAAATTTCCTCCACTTATAATATAATACAGATGGTGAACCATCCGTGTTCCGAGTACAATAATCATATTAGCGATTGGTGTAACATAATTTTATGGGGAAACGGATTCAAGACCCCCCATACGCTATACATACATACGCATGGACGCACACATTAAAGATAATGCTGAGAGACCATCTGTTAAACTATATTTTGTAAATCATATGACGTAGTTGTTGACATTGAAATATTACTTACGTGTTGATTAAATTATTTATTTTTTACTAATATGTCATGACCCAAACCCGGAGTCGGTAATAAAAACTCGAACCCGAATTCAAAACGTGAGTTAAAAACTAAATAAATAAAGGGAAATTGAAACAGGTTGGAAAATGAACTCCTCTTATAAAAATAACTCCAAAATCCTTACAGGGTGTACAAAAGTAATAAATTAAAATCCTTAAAACCCTTATCTAACACAACCTTGTGTTGTTCATTAAAATATTAATATCTTGGAGGATCTCGGAGGGCCAGATGGCTAAACCGATCCCTCTGGCCAGCCATCGGTTAGAGATGGACTAATGTCCCCGTGAGCAGTTTATATTTATCCCTCGGATTAATGCAACACTAAAGTTCTCAAGCTCCATGAACATCTCAAGTAATTTCTTATACAATATATATCTCATCATAAAACATTTACACAAAATCCAACATGCTTGATTTAAAATAGATAGAGATTTGAAATATAGAAAACCCACAATAACTCATGGTTTTCATTTATTAGAAAATAAGAATATTTTAAATACATTACATAAATCACTCACCTTGATCGATAGCTAGAACCTCGGCAAGACAAGCATACAAAGAATCTCCACACCCTAAACCCTATTTCTTTCTCTCTTTACCCTCACTCCCTTTCTCTACGTTGAACCTTCGATGCATGCTCTGCATGTTTCCTTCTCTTTATGCTCCAAGAACAATGGTGCAAGCAAAGCTCCTATTTATACTAGGAGAAGACGGCAAAGATTAAGCCATTTAATTGGTTGGAAGTGCAACGCATGACAGCTAGACCCAGGTTTTTTCTTAAAAATCCGATACCTCAAGCAATAGAGTGGTGACTCACCTTAGTATCTAACAGCTCTTGCTTAAAATTCATGAGCCACAGGACACATGTCCTTTGGTCATCACGTGTTGGTCAACATACAACTCTAGTTGACACACACACACACACTCACACACACACACACACACATATATATATATATGACAACTTATAATATAATTATAGAATACAGGTTCTCACATAATAATACCTCACCTAATTTAAAAATCATATGACGTGATTGCCTACCTAACATTACTCATATTCTAAACGTATGCAACTTCATAGTTATGTGA